TTGATCTCTGAACATGGCTTCACAACGGAGCTCTCAATTCTCTGATCTCAACGTGATCAGAGAAGTACACTGCTTCTTGGAGTTCTGAAGTACTTTTTGTTTGCTGTATTCATTGGGCCTTAGGAAAAGAGCACAACATCAAGAAGCTGGTAACATGGTGCTTTGATCGATACTAAAACGTCTTCATAGAGTTAGACTTTGGTAATTTATATGATTCCAATATGTTGCGAATTACTGTAGGTTGCTCATTTGTTGAAGAGTGTCGTCAAATTAACAGTATCTTTCAGACAATGGGTTTCATCTCTCTGACCTTTTTACAGTTAAGCAACGTCAAAACCTCATAGAATATCTGACTATAACTGCTCAGTAATGATTAAGATGTACCCAAATTGTGGCCTACTTATCATCAACTGCTCAAAGTTCAATTGTGATACTTGAATACAGGTACCTCTTGTTGTTACTCTTGGATTTTGAACTTTGGCATAACCAAACTTATCAATCACCAACCCATCAGTTTTCCAGACTTTTCACTTTGAGTCGCACGGCCTAGTTCACTATTTCTGTATCATGTGGTGTATGTCTTCCGTGATAGATTTACGCTGATAGTATCTTGACGAGTATGAATCGACCGTTGTTGATACACATTGAGTCTTTGTAACTGAAGCCATCCAGCCATGACCACATTGTGCAGAATCTACAAGCTACACATAGCCGTTTGCTTATTTCTATATGACAAAGAGCGATACTAACTGTTCGTGAAGTCTATTCTCTATGGATCAAAGCTGTTGTTGTCCTTGAACGTTGGTGAAGTATTGTTGATGCGTTGGTATGGTTTCACATTTGTTGACCCCAAACATCCGCACATCAAAATTGAGCGGAGGTTGAGAAAAAACATCAACAAAGGGGAACTCTCTTGTATGAACACATTTCTTTCCTTAACAGTCTAAGCTTGAAAATGTTAGAAGATGTTAGCTCTAGTATGGTATGCTGCTACGTATAACATAAGGCTACTCCAAATGACTTGAAAGGCTTTGAGTGATTGTGAAAGTCTGAAGGCCAGTGTTAGAGGTGGCATATATGAAAGTCTCAATGGTTTCTCCTGACCTACAAGACTTTGTCTTTCAATGAGAGAACTGGATGGGAAGACTGGTATCAATAGATCGCATGAACCACAGGGATAACTTACAACTCAAATCCCAGATCAAAAAGCTACTTCAATTCCTCATTTCGACGATGTATGGCCCTATCTCCTTGGCTAAAGCTTTACACAGTTCTGAATCAACACGTCTACACATATGAATTGGCATTTCCATATGGTTTCAAGAGTAATTAGGTCACAAATTATACTCATAGATTGTATCGCTATCCAAGTGTTCTTGTTTTCTATTGCATAATGGTATTGTGGGGCTCTCTATTGCTCCTTGGTATAAGTGAAACACAAATGTGAGGCGTCTCTTAAAACAGTCCGCCAATACTCGACATCAATCAAAGAAGAAGCACACAGTGCCAATAGGCCATGAGTGCTAGACATCTCTGGATCATGAAACTGTCTTGGTGGGTTAACCCTCACTCCTCATAGAACTACATCGATTTCGAATTGAAATTGGTGATGGTCTTAGTGATTCTTGAAACAGCTTCCATTTACGGATCTCAGACAAAATGACGGTTGTACACTACATACGGTGCATTTTATGGAAAGTCAGTTATACTATGAGACTTGTCTGAATGTTCTGCACTGTGTTTCCAAAGAGCTCTGCTGTCTAACTTGAAAATATCGGTGATTCCAATGACTAAGGAAAAAGATCTTATTCATAGACAACAGAAACCAAGAGGTAAACAAGACAGTACTCAAAAAGGCTCATATGGAACCAGAAGTGTGATTTGTGACTTATCTGAATGTTTTATCATGGGTCACTGGTGTGCTGTCTCGACTTCAAATTGAAGAAGATTATTTACAACATCCAAAGCATTTGATGATACAGGCTCTACTTACACAGTCCAACAGAGAGCTTGAGCACACAGCAACTACAGGATATCCTGTTGACAATTAACTATACGATGTGACTTGTTATAATGTTTCATCATGGGTTTGATTCGAACTCTGTTGTCTTCCAAATGGTGGTGGATAATCATGTGAAATTTGAACCACAAGAAATGTCTGGTTCCTGTATTGCATTTGTTGGAGATTCAACCGGATGTCTCAAGTCATTGATGTATTTCTATCAGCAGACATAGTGAACAATGTATTTGGTTGTTCATCTAAAGAAATATAAACTTCAACAATCTAAGAGGCTAACCACTTTTATTTATAATCCATCCAAGATACACTACTGAGACTGAGGGATCATCAATCTAGACGCCATCTGGTATTGTCATCATTTCATATGATCCATGGGCTTTGCTTTATTAGTAAGTCCATGTCTCTTGGCTCCACATGAGATGTCTCAGCAACTGATACATTTGTCATCGAGTGATTGGGACTCAAGTTCTCGAATGATTTATGACTGTTGCTACTTTGGTCATTACTTTTTATGTCACTTTTAGACGGAGATTTATTATCGGAACTAGAGTGAACGACACACGATCATTACCTTGGTGTGAGTCAGAGATATGGAATTAGCAGAGCTGCTATAGTGGATGGTCTAAGACTTTGCTACGTTTGGATACAGCTCTTCTTGTTACTTTCGTATTGTGAACTTTGGGATAACCAAATTTATTGATCACCATTCACTCTGTTTTCCAAATGCTTCACTTCGAGTGACACAATATACTGTACACTTTCTTTACCATAAAGTGTATGTCTTGATAGATTTAGGCTTTGGTTATGTCTTGACAAGTATGAATTGACCTTTGTTACTCATTTGGCCTTTTATAGCTGAAGTCATCCAGCCATAACGACCTTGTGCTGAATCTACAAGCTACACATAGGTATTGACATGATTTTCTATGATACAGAGCTAAACTTCTTGTACTTCAAGTCTGTTCTCTATGGATCAAAACCGTTGTTGTCATTAAACTTTGGGGAAGTATCGTTGATGCGTTGCTATAGTTTTACATTTGCTGGCTCCAAACATCCGAACATCAAAATTGAGCGAGGGTTGAGAAAAAACATCAACAAAGCAAAGGGGAATTTCCTATATCAACAAACTTATTCCTTTGGCAATTTAAGCACTGAGTCTTTGGAAGATGATGGCTTTAGGATGGAATGCTTCTGTGTATCACATAAGGCTATTCCAAATGACTTGAAAGGCTTTGAGTGACTGTGAAAGTCACAACAACAGTGCTAGAGGAAGAAATGAGAGTTTTAAGGGGCTCAACTACTTTACAAGAATTGGTCTTCCAATGAGAG